AACATACACTTACTTGTAGGTTGTACTCTAGGACTTGTAACTGATCTACAGATGAATGAAAGAGTAGTGTAATTTACTTCTGTATGTCAATTCGGTCTCATTGTATTTCAGTGGGCGGCTTTTAAAGGTTAAAACTGCAAGCATAATACACACAAATAACTAACATGGTGTCGCGCTATATCCTAGGGGAGGGCATAATTATTAATTAATAGCCATCATAGGCCAGAGGAAATTTTGCACCCCATCACACCTGCACCCGGGGGCGACTGCCCCTTGCTCCCTCTTGCTACGCCACTGCATTGCCTATCCCCACACCATACTTACAGTTTGCAAATTTTTTTTATTACTTGTCAATATATGAGGATATAGGATAGATTTAATGAATCGTGTATGAAGGTGTAGGATGGATTTAATGAATTCGTATATTAGTTAGTATTTTCATAACTGAGCTCTTCTTCTGTGATTACCATATTTTTCGGTGTATAAGACGCACTTTTTTACTCCAAAATTTGATGTCAAAGTCTGCTTGCGTCCTATACACCGAAGGTATGAATAATATGTATGTATATATACGATATACACAAGCCATGTTTAAATATATTTAAATAGGCAAACTTTAGGTCATTAGATTCAGATTCTAATAAGGTTTTCTAGTGTAATAGGCACATTTTTTTTTACATGTTTATTGAATAATTTTGTTAGGTATATTGTATTCAAACAACCCAGACAAATAACATAGTTTATTATTTATTGAAAACAGACCAAGAATATGTTTAGCAAAAAAAGCGTGATACCCATCGTGACAAAGATAATGGTTACATCATTATGATAAATATTTATTCATTTTTATTGTATTTTTTCATGATTTATAGCTGGAAGTGGTCACTGCTTCAATCAGCAAAATAATATATATGTTTATTAAAATCAAGTAAATTGAAACCTACTGAATATATGAAATGAAACTTTGTGAAAGAAAATGGAAAAAAATTTCTAAGATGAAGTATTTTCAATGTGTTTTGAAAGCAGTGTCTTGCAACAAAATTTTGGAAATTTCACAATTTGTAAAATGATAGAAGTAATAAAAGATATTTTATGATTATTAAAGCTGAAACTAAATACAATTTAGAAAGTTTCTGCTATGTTCCATAAATTTAGTTAAGTATTCTAAATGTGATGAGGGAAAAATCGTCAGATGTCAGTGACATTCTTTCACTCTGGAAAGAGCTAAGTGCATAAGATTTTAAACTATTTCAAGAAGTTTATCCATTTGTTACATTTTAATACCAATATAATATAGTTAGAACCACAGTTCTAAGCTTTTAAAACTTGTTATAATTTATGGTTTGTTATAATTTATATTCGTATGATGTACAGTATTTTTCGGAATATAAGATGCACCCTTATTTTGAAGACAAAGTTTTGGGGAAAAAAAGCTACAGTTGCATTTGAAAGATTTTTTATTGAACAAAAATTCAATTTGATACTTTAAAAATTAGTATATATTGTTCTAAACACAAAAGAGCTCAAAACATCAAAATAAGAAAATACCGTAAATCAAAAGAAGATTTACTGTTATTTAGTTTGGTTCAATAACCTACAAAATCTTCATTGCTTTCACTGTAATTTATTTTTTATTATTTAGGGAGCATTATAAATAGTTATGTTTTTAAAAGAAAAAAACTACTATTGTTATAAATAACACATTCAATTGAACTAAACTATGCATGGAAAAAATCAGGTAATGCTGATGAAGTAGTATGTTCCAGACATGTTTAATTAAACATGTTTGAATATTAAGTAATCTTTAAATAACTTAATAACAGCTCTAAAACTTGGATGATAAGGATTAAAGTAATATAAAAGATTAAAAGTAGAAAAGTCAT